AAACAATCTGTTCCACCTTGTGACACTCGGAGTCCCTTTCCCAGACCTGAAGAAGAGCCCTGTGTAGCTTGAAAGCTTGTCTCTCTTGTCAGCAGAAGCTGGTCCAATAAAAGGTATTCCTTCATCCCTCTTGTCTTTCTAATATCCTGGGACAAAGAGAGAAACATCTCTTCCCACAGTGATTCATTGCATGTTTTCACACTTGTCTCATACACCTTTCTTGAATTATTAGGATGGAAGTATAGACCCTATGCTGGTGTTCTGGTCATACACAAACACCATCTTTGAGCTCACTGTCTTGCCAAGTGACCCATTTCTGTGTAACCTCAATGGAGAATTTTCCCCTCTTGTTTATTGATGTTACTCTGTGAGAAAGGCAGCAAAATTCTCTTTGGCTTAGAGATTTAAGTTTGTATAGCAGGCATCTCTCTCCAGCGTATCACAAAGAAACAGATTATTTTTGCTGACTGGACATTATGCCTCTTCATGGTGATCCTAGTGTTATTGCTGCTGCTATTATTGATAATAATGAGTCTGCTCATGCTTGTCAACCTCAATTGCTTTCCTCAGCTGATGATGACAAGAACACTAAATGTGATTTTAAGTTTTTAAGACCATTATTTTTGCTTCACACAGCATGAAATAAAGTACTGTTTCTTACCCTGCCTCCCCAACTCCCTCTCCTATAGCACAGCTCTCCATGCAACTAAGGTCATGTCTACACTTAAAGCGCTGCAGTGACACAGCTGTACAGCTACAGCTGCACCGCTGCAGCGTGTATGGTGAAGATCTTTATGCCGATGGGAGAGAGCTCTCCCGTCAGCATAAAAAACAAAGCAAAACACCACTCCCCCAAGTGGCATAAGCTATGTTGGCGGGAGAAGCTGTCCCGCCAACATAGTGCAGTGCATACTAGCAGGGCCAGAAGGTCTTCTTGACAACAAAGGCACACTGTTGACTCATATCCAGCTTCTCATCCACTGTAACCTCCAGGTCCTTTTCTGCAGAACTGCTGCTTAGCCAGTCGGTTCCCAGCCTGTAGCAGTACACAGGATTCTTACATCCTAAATGCAGGACTCTGCACTTGTCCTAGTTGAGCCTCATCAGATTTCTTTTGGCCCAATATGTCAGGTCACTCTGGATCCTATCCCTAACCTCCAGCATATCTACCTCTTCCCCCAGCTTAGTGTCCGCAAACTTGCTGAGGGTACAATCCATCCCATCATCCAGATCATTAATGAAGATGTTGAACAAAACTGACCACAGGACTTAAGTTCCCTGTAAGCTGCGTGGCCATGCAGCAGCCTATTTAGCTCCGTGCAGGTGCTCAGGGAATCCGCCCAAGGACCTGCTGTGGCCAGAGACCAGCTGGGGGAGGGGCACCCATCCCTCAGCCCCAACCTAGCCAGGCCTGGGCGCCTGGCCCTGCCAGGGTGGCCCGGCCCAGTCCCAGCTGTGGCCTGGACCAGCCTGGACCTGGACTCAGGCGTGGCTCAGGGTTGGACAGACCCAGCAGTGGCCCAGCCCGGCCCAGACCCAAGCACGGACAGAGTGGCCGGGCCCTGCCCAGCCCCAGGGGCGGCCGGGGTGGCACCAACCCAGGTGTGGCCAGAGTGACCTGGCCCGGCATGGACCCATACTGAAGCAGTATGGCTCAGCCCAGCTCTAGCTGCGGCCCAACCCTGGAGCTGCTGCAGAGGGGAGAGGCACCTCTCCCTCACAGCCCAGGTGTTGCTGTGGGAAGAGAGAGCTGGGGGGAGTCCTCTCTCCTTGCTGTAGCCCCGGAGCCCCCTCCTACACCCCAAACACCCTCATCCCCAGCCCTACCCCAGAGCCTGCCCTCCCAGCCGGAGCCCTCACACTCCTGCATCCCAACCCTCACGTATCACCTCCATATTAGTGCACATAACAAAATTAATTCCACACATAGGTGGGAAAAATTAGCGGGAACACTGCCCAGGACTGACCCCTAGGGCACGCCACTTGATACCAGCTGCCAACCAGACATCGAGCTGTTTATCACTACCTGTGTACTGTGATACACTGTTGAGCCCGAAGATCTAGCCAGCTTTCTATCCACCTTATAGTCCATTCATCCAATCCATACTTCTTTAACTTGCAGGCAAGAAGCCGGCGGGTGGGGCAATGGGTGGAGAGGAGCCCTCGGCCGGCTGGTGTGCAGGCCAAGAAGAGCAAGTGGTAGTGGGGCGGGGGGAGGGGCGGGGGCTGGAGGGGTCTCAGGGCACAGTACAAGCAGAGCAGGCCCAGGCCCCTTCTGAGCATGGGCCCAGCTCCATGGAACCACTGGTGCCATTGTAAACCCGGCACTGCACACTAGCGCTTATGTTGGTGTAACTTATGTCACTCAGGGGGGTGGAATACTCACACCCTTGGGTGACACAAGTTTTGCCAACGACGTAGGCGGTAGTGTAGACAGCCTAATTCAGCATTTCCTGCAGTGAGCATTAGACAGCCCTGAGTAATCTCTAGTCTTCTGCCAGCTTCCAGTTAGGAAAGGGGAACAGGAGGAGAGAGATAGCATCGTCTGTTCGCTATCTTCAACCCTCATTGGCCAGCACAGTCCCTCCCCATTTCTAGGAGCCAGCACAGTACTTCTTATTGTGGGCTATAGACAGCCCCCGAGAAGTTCCAGTCCTCAGTCAGCTCCACACCAGGAAAGTGCACGATCAGGAGTTCCTTAGTGATTGCACCATCTGATATTGTTTGTGCTACTTTCTCATTTGTTCTGCTTTGTTCTCTCTCTCTCCCCCCCCCTTGGAATCAAGAAATGTCTCCATTACCATTAATGACTAACACTCATGCCAATTTCTTTTAATGGTCTGAGCTCACCATGACAGCTACATTTGTTCGCCTGCTTTTTGTCTCCATCATTTCCATCCTCTTCTCTCCTCTCCCCTTCCACTCCTTCTGTCGTCCTATTCTTTAAAAATACCCACCCTTCACTTCTTTTGCCCCAACTGCATCAGTTTTGCACTGGTGTAGTTCCAGTGATTTCACTGAGTTACTCCTAATTAGCATAATTGTGAAATCAGAATCAGGCCCAATGTCTTCAAAAGTAATCTTTGCAGTGATGGCCTCTGCACTGCCCCCGACTGAGGAATCCAGCATACTGGAACAATTTACCCCATATAGTTAAGTAAATGTTATGTCTTCATAGTATAACATAAAATAAAGAATTAAAACTATTACTGTAGTTAAAGCAGTTTAATTCTGGTTTAAAGGGCTTTTCAGTTGTCTTTAAAATATTTAGGCTTACCAGAAGCATAGTTTATGCTCTCATGTGAGCATGTCTGCTGGTGGGAAAGCAGGCAGGAAGGAAGGCATAAAGTAAATCTACCGTTACATATGGTGAATCTTTCACCTTAGTGACTCAGTCAGGTGACATGTCTAGCATATCTTATGTCAAGTTTGCATGCAGTCTTGCAAAGCAAATACAGTATAACTGAACAGCTCCTTTCAACAGCTGTTTTTTAAAACTGTTACACTACTATTGTTAGCTGGGCTACAAGTTATGACAAGTGAAAAAGCCAGAATCATCCCTTTGGCATTCATTGTAACAACATTCCATCATAAGGAATTCTCATGCTACAGGATGTGAATGTAATAAAATATGTGACTCAGCATTGTGACATCTTTTCACTCTCTAAAGTGAAACTGCTGTAGTAGTGACTTGATCAGGCCATATAGGCCAAAATATAGGTTTGATAAGGAAAAATGTCTGTTAAAATTAACAGGAATAGAATTGTTTTTAAAATAATAATGAAAACCTTCATTTATCTAAACTGTTTTGACCAAAGACTGTAGGACCATGCTGTTGTATGTGAAACACAGTAACAGAGACTGGTAGCTGCAAAGTTTTGAGAGAACACAGGGCAACAGCTTCCTAAATGTGGCAAAATAAATGATGGACTAGATTATCCTCACTGTCATGCAATAGGGAAGAGATGAAATAATCACTGCCTAGTTTAAGGAAGGTAGAGGGAACAAACCCCCACCCGCAATTTCCATAGTGCACAGGAACCCAAAATTTTTGGGCTGATGACTTATTCACCAAATGGAAGACCTGATTTTGCACAGCCATACATTTTGTACAGGTGTACAAATTACACAAAATGTAAAATGCTACTGAGAAAATGCTAATATTTTCACACTCATTTTGCACAGCTTTAAATAATTAAACACAGCGCAAGGCAGTTGAAAAACAAGCCAAATTTTCCTGAGCACCTTTCAACTTCTCATTTTATTTTTTTTAAATGAGAGATGATTAGATCTAGATTTTTAAAGTTCTTTTCAATAATGTAAAACAATTAATAACCAAAGTCATGTTTAAAAGAAGTTACACTCACCTAATGTCTTTTTAATTTTTAACATGCCTATGAAGTGAGCACCTTAAAACCATCAGAGTTCAGCATTTCAAATGATGCCTATCAATTGAAGTGATCCTAGGTGGTCTTTAGCCATAATATTTCAGTTATGGGCCAGTTAACTTTTCTAGTACAAAAATGGGGCAGAAATTTCCCCATATCTAAAATTTCCAAATTTGGTGAAGCAGCACTAGTTTTGTCTTAAAAATGTGGGTGTTGGATCATATTAAAGAAGTTAAATCCTGCTGGTTTTTATTTTATTGGTATAACATTTTGGTGGAGAATTGCGAAAGGGGGAATATTGGTAAAAAACCTCAGTTATTGTAAATATTGGTGTGCACACCGCCAGCTCTAGTGAGCTAGGCATTTCTATTAGGTTAAACCAGACCTGCTGGCCTCCGAGAAGGTAGCAGGGGACCTGCTGGCCTCCGAGAAGGTAGCAGGAAAAACAGATTAAACCAGACCTGCTGGCCTCCGAGAAGGTAGCAGGGGACCTGCTGGCCTCCGAGAAGGTAGCAGGAAAAACAGATTAAACCAGACCTGCTGGCCTCCGAGAAGGTAGCAGGGGACTGCTGGCCTCCGAGAAGGTAGCAGGAAAAAACAGATTAAACCAGACCTGCTGGCCTCCGAGAAGGTAGCAGGGGACCTGCTGGCCTCCGAGAAGGTAGTAGGGAAAACAGATTAAACCAGACCTGCTGGCCTCCGAGAAGGTAGCAGGGGACCTGCTGGCCTCCGAGAAGGTAGCAGGGGACCTGCTGGCCTCCGAGAAGGTAGTAGGGAAAACAGATTAAACCAGACCTGCTGGCCTCCGAGAAGGTAGCAGGGGACCTGCTGGCCTCCGAGAAGGTAGCAGGGAAAACAGATTAAACTAGACCTGCTGGCCTCCGGGAAGGTAGCAGGGGACCTGCTGGCCTCCGAGAAGGTAGCAGGGAAGAACAGGTTAACCGGACCTGCTGGCCTCCGAGAAGGTAGCAGGGAGAAATAGGTTAACCAGACCTGCTGGCCTCCGAGAAGGTAGCAGGGAGAAATAGGTTAACTGGACCTGCTGGCCTCTGGGAAGGTAGCAGGGGACCTGCTGGCCTCCGGGAAGGTAGCAGGGGAAAAACGCATACATTAAGCTATGATTTCAGAATCTAGGCTGTGTCACTTGCTAAGTAATACCAGCAGTGACAAAGAGATTGAAATATCCATGTTAAGATGTTTAAAAGAAAACAGGGTAAGCCAGTACCAGAGGGAAGAATGGAGTCAGAAGGAACTCCAATCTCACCTTTTGTTAAAGAAATTACACCTTTTAAACAAATCCTTCAAAAATTTGGGCACAGTCCTTAGACTAAACAAGCCCTAGCTGATGTCTGCACTATTTCGGACCTAGAGGATAGATTGGCTCAGTATATCCTCATATACAAACCTTCTAGTGCTGCCAAAAGAGATGCAGCAGCAATTTGGTTGTTGTGGGAGGCATGTAAGGATTCTTCCCTCCGCTTGTCTTCATGTAAAGAGGAAAAGGCACAAACGGAAAAGGGAGCAGACAATTGGAAGGTGCTGGCTACAAATACCCAAAGCCAGCTGAAAATAGTGAAAGAGGCACAACTTTTAACCGAAAATGTTAAAAAGGAAAAGTGTTAGAGAAAGAGCATTCTTGGTTTCTTTGCAGCCATTCTGAAAGAAAAATGGGCCCTTTTCCAAAGGAATGTCTGTAAATTAGCCAGGCAAAAATAAACTATCTGATTAAAATCATTTGACTGGACAATTTAGTCAAATTTGATAAAAGAACATAAGAGGGTTCTATTGGAACTTAACTGCCTCAAATGTATAAAGGGAATGTAAGCTGTAAAAAACAGAGCAGTGTGGAAGGGATGTTAAGGAAAAGAAAACGTGTATGTATCTGTCTGTGTGTGTGTAAATATGTAAAGTTCTAAGGACCAGTTAGTTTTGTTTTTGTTTTAAATAATGCCACTAAAAATCCATTTGACTCTTTAATTCAAAGTTGCAAAACTGACAGACCTTTTTGCTAGACACAGGTAATTAGTGTTGTTTGGCTTTGGGATTTGGCATTTAACCCTTAAAAGGTAACTCAATGCTTTACAAAATTTAAAATGTTTTTAAGTTGTGGCTGCAGCAGGGCAGTCAAAATCAGGAGAATATAAAAAAAAAAATTTGGATTCTTTTTGTTTGTTTGTTTTTTGTTTGTTTGTTTTTGTAACAAAATAGCAGATGAGAGTTGTAGTAAAAAAAAAAAATTAAAAAAAGACAGTGCCTCTCTGAAGCAACAGCAGGGGTGAGGTGCACAAAACAGAAAGAAGCAATGTTAGAAACACTGAGTCTTAAAATGGCTCTGAGTAATCAGACTGTCACTTTGATAAAGGTACATGAAAACTCTGTAAGCAAAAAAAGAAATAGTGACACCTTATGTAAAAATGGATCTGGATAATGTTATGGAAGTTAAACTATGGAAGGAATGTGCATTTGCCCCAGAACATGTGCAGGGTATATTGTAGAAGGGGCAAAAGAAATGCAAACATGCCATGCTACTTCATTAAAATGCTATTAGGGCTCGAAAGGGAGCCACAATAGGTTGGATTTTCTTTTTCAGATTGCTGTGTGTTTTGGAAGCAGAAGTTAAAAGTAATCAAAACTCTGGTGAAAGTTGATTGTGTCCCTTTTAAGATGGGTTTCAGAGGAACAGCCGTGTTAGTCTGTATTCGCAAAAAGAAAAGGAGTACTGCAGTTTCCACGGTATACATCTGATGAAGTGAGCTGTAGCTCACGAAAGCTCATGCTCAAATAAATTGGTTAGTCTCTAAGGTGCTACAAGTACTCCTTTCCTTTTAAGATAGACTCTCTGAGCTGCTGATGGCTTTAAATCCAAAAGCAGGAAGTTTCTGTGAAAATGCAAATTACCTAAATGATAAAGGAAGGAAAGAACTAGCAGCACAAAGGAGCTGCAGATAAAGGACATACCTGGTCAGCAAACAAATTGTCTAAATAAAAGGCATGGGATAACAAGATAATTTTAATAAATTTAATGATAATAAGTATCCCTGTAACAACGTATAGTGTGTATGATTTTTGGAAAAATCCTTTAAGGTCGTATGGTAATGATGCTTCTCAGTTACTACCTGTAAATAAAACTTAAAGCTTAACACAGCAGGAAAAACATTATAAACTTGGTCTGCTGTATAAGAAGGAAAACTCAGGGATTTAATGACTAAACAGTGGGATAATTTCCCCATAACCCTTAAAAGATAAAAGCCATTGAAACCTGGCCTGCCTATAGAACAAAAACAGGAAAATATGGGGGCAATTTCTCTGTGTTGCCTGCAATCAGCAAGGGTATTTGTAAAAGAAATATTTTAAGCAATAATCTGCCACCCCAAAAGGGGTAGAAACATGTTCTTTTTGTCTTTCAGAAAATCAGGAAAAGCTGATGCCAGCTGAAAAGCAACCCAATACCATGAATCTACTGTCACAATAGAAATTGTGTTCTGTGTTCTATGTTTTGTCTTGTGTTTTGTCTTGTTGCTAGCACTGTTGTGTGTTTAAAAAAAAATACTGAAGACCTGCAGGAACTTAAAAATAAATTAAGCTTTCTGTCCCAGCTACAGGACAGCCTGATACAAAAACAAGTACATGCCAATGTAGACTTGGTCCAAATTGGTCTGGGTAACCTAAAAGGCCGATGGAATCTTTAGTAATGGTTTAATACTACCACATGGCTTATCCATAAGAAAAAAAAAATATTAGAAATAGGAAACTACACAGCCATAGCTATGGGATGCACTGAAATGCAGATACTTGCACTAGCTACTTTTGAACACAAAATGTTCTGGGAAATATTAAGGGTTTGATGCATTTGTTAAAAAAGAAAGAGATCATTGTTTGACACTTATCAATATGAATGGATGCAATATGTTTCCAGTATTGTAAACCAGACTTGTTAATGGGAGAAATTGTTGTCAAAATTGCACACCAACAGTCCCTGGAGGCAAAGGTATTGAAGGTTAACCCACTCCCCATATTACACATGGGATCCTTTTGGCTACCCTGGACCTTGAGCCAGTGGGCTGGGGAAGGAGGGAAGCTATTGGACACTAGAGGTTGTACCAAATGGACTCCTCAAAAGTGGGTGTGCCTCACCTTGCCTGTTGCCCCAGAACCTTGTAGTAAAGATACATCACTAGGATCATGTATGTGGCATGAATTGGAATCACAAACTCAAATTGCCTCACAGTACTTTCTCTTGAATAGGCTACATAGAAAGTGACACTGACGATTATAAATCTTAGTGTCAAAAGGGGGATTATGTTGGATCATATTAAAGAAGTTCTGTATTAAAATCACAAATGAGTTTGATTCCCCAGAGTTTAAATTCCAGGGTATTACTAATTAAGAGGTCTCTTGGTTTTTGGTACTGTTTCTCTCCCTCTATGTGTGAAACTTGCAAGCTGCTAATTGTGTTAGTACATTCTAAGACAGAGTCTGTTCTCAAAGCAATTCACAGAGAGAGAGACTCAAAGCAATACTCTAACAACAGAAACAACACCCACAGACTCCCCACCCTTTTGTTGTATTAACAATTGTGATTAAAATAGAGATAGAGGATGTATGTGGATGGATGCTTGGTGTGGATAATAACTGAATGATCAGGGAGGTGCCAGCCTAAGAATCCAGTGTCCATCGGCTGAAGAAGGCGTCAAGTGGAAATAACCAGAGGACCCTCCGGAGGGCAGACTGGAATCCACCCAACAGCCTCAAGAATGGGAGAACCAAAGAACAAGATAACATCTTGGAGCCGTCAGGAATGTGCTATCTGCTGATTGATTCAGCAACAGCATGATGAAGCAATTCCCATAGACTGGCATAGGAAGAAATTCCTATAAAAATAGACTCTAAAAAGTGAGAACTTTGGGGTCTGATTCTGCAAACCAACTTCCAGGAGCATCAGATGAGCATCTGACAAGGCCCTGCTCCCTCCTCATGTCCAGGCCACCTGGCCAGTGGCTTGGCATGAGCAACTCTAAGGCTGGTAACTATGATAACAACCTTGCAGAACCTGTGTGTGTGTGTTTGTATGAATGAATGTGTGAATAAATATGAGATTGAATGGAATGTTATAGCTATAACTAACTGCTTACTATGATTCTTTCTGTATTCACAATAAATGTGGTATTTTGCCTTTTTCCCTTTAATAAGATCCTGCTGGTTTTTATTTTATTGGTATAACATGGGATACAAGTTGCCCATCTACCAATGATGCTTTTTTCAACATGGGGGGGAGGGGAGTGATTTTTGTACCTTTTTTAGAAAAAAAAAGTCTTTAGATATCTTAAATCTTAAATTTACTATGTATACATTAACAAACGACTACTGTGCACAATCACAAATTAGTTTTTACAACCGTTTATTGTATCAGTGGACTCCAGCCATTGAAACATTTTGCTATTAAATTGTTATGATAGCAGATAAAGATACAATAGACTTTCCTAGCTTCAGAGGATCAGTGGTAATCTTTAAAATGAATGACAAGAGTTCAGTTATTCACCTCACTTTTACCTCTGGATATGAAAAATCAGATCTATTTGGATATTTAAACAGTAAAAGTACATTATTTTGAAGATCACTATTAAAAATTTTGTATTCTTAAAATAGTAGTGTTCAGATGAGAAATAATTTATTATAGCCGTACTGCACAACACCCTCCTTCAGCCATAATTAGACATCCAAGGGAAATCTCATCCCACTCCCATTTTACTTACTGTTTCTTGCTCCTGTGCTGAAATTTGTTTGTGAAGGTGGGGGAAGATGATCCTGAGAAGAGTTAGATTCACTAGGAAACTTTTGATTTTGTACAAAACTGACTATTCTGACAAAAATATGTTCTTGATATGGAGTAAGGAAATTCCATAGGCATATAGAATAGCAAGTTGAACTGCTTCCCTGAAGCCAGATTCTGATTGGTCAGTTGGGCCTTTGTACTAATGCAACATTCCTTATGGTGCACAGCTGAGACTTCATCACCACAATTAAATAATCTCTATAAATATTGACTTCATTATAGGCATCAGGTATAAAAGCAGCCTCTTCCTTTCCTTGCCCCACAATTGTAGCTGCCTTTCTTAAATGTAAATTTAGAAGATAATCTTACTTAAAAGGTTGGTTTGGGAGCTCTCACCAGCTCCCAACTCAGCTTGGTGCAGTTAAAGCTGCCCTGCCACTGTCTAGCACCTCTGAGAGTAGCAGTCAGGCTGCGAAAGGGAGCATTATTTCTCTTCTCAGGAAACACATGGAAGAATCCTGGAAGAGAAATCACTGTGGCGTGCCCAAGACAGTTAGTAGCCCTTCACAGGTAGTGTTTATTGCATTTGGGCTCTTAATTCAGTCTTTTAAATGAGATTAACACTTTAATATACAAAAAGAAAAGGAGGACTTGTGGCACCTTCCGATGAAGTGAGCTGTAGCTCACGAAAGCTTATGCTCAAATAAATTAGTTAGACTCTAAGGTGCCACAAGTACTAATTTAATATAGTTTATAGTTGCCTGCAAAAGAGGCAGGGAAGAGAGGTCACTGAGCTGTCAGGGACAAAAGGGGAAGGAGAGGTAGTTTCAAATTATACACTTTTCCTTTGCCCCACTAGCTTATATATCACTTGGACAGCCCGTCATTCTTCTCTGAGTACTTCAAATCCTACTTTCTATTACAAAAACTGAATTGTGGAACTGGTCAATGTGATTCCTAAATTATGCCCTGATTGGGCAGATTAGGCTGGTGAGTAGTGTCATTGGCTTCAACATGTACTGGTTATCACATGCATAAGTCTTTGCAATATTGGGGCCTTGCTTTTTATAATACAAAGCAAGATGTTAAAAATGGCCTTTAAGCCACCACCAAACTGTTGTTGAAAGTACATCAAGGTTAATGGCAAGGGCAGGAGAAGGGACCCAAATATTTCACTAAATCATTTAAATAATACATTTTACAAAGTGGATATTGAAAATAATAAAGAAAATGCATTTTCAAGCTTTTTTTCTGTTTCTTTTCTTTCTCTTCTCTTCATCATGGAAACACCTGCTGTCCAAATCCCTGCACTAACAGATTTTAGAAATTGAATTGTAAAACTACTCTTCTGTGCTCTCAGCAAAATGCCATGCCAGGATGTGCATCAGTAGATTATTGATGCATTCCTTTGAGTGGCTTACAAAGCCCATTTAAGGCATTCACTGATGGCCTACTAATGCACAGCCTTTAGGGATTTACTGGCATAATAGATCTTTTTAGAACCACAATCATATAATATTGTGGGCCTGTGATGAGAGAAACTTTGTCCTAAACTCTACCATTTAGGTATTGCAATAGATTTTGCTATGCCAGGTGTTGAAGGGCTGTGTTTTGCAAAGTAATCTTAGGTGAAATGTGCTTTTACCTTAGGGGTTAAATTATGGTTCTATGCATACATCAGTTCCCTCCTAATGGGAAAATGTTTATACTACAAAAGTAGCATAATGTGAGCCCATATTCTGGCTGCTTTCCACCCCGATTCTCAGTCCTTGCTGTGTATTACCCTGCCAGGAGCAGGATTAATCTACACCAGGAGTAATCTGCCTGGAATGGGGTTATGAAGCTGAGTCAGACTGTGCATGTGCCAGAGCACTTACAACCTACTCTGCAATGCCTCTCAGTGGCTCTAGCTACAGAGGACCTCTGAAATGCAATTTCTGTGGATCTGTCCACAAGTTTCTGCCACTCATTTCCCCTCCTAACTACATAGGGTTTTGGTGTGCACATACAATAATGCTTTGCAATTTTTTAGCAACTTCCATTTGAGGATCTCAAAGTGCTTTACAAAGATTATGATTTTAGCCTCACAACCCTCCTGTAAAGTAGGGTATTTTACAGAGGTGGAAACTGAGGCAGAGAGAAATGAAAACACTGGAAGTCAGGGACAGAGCCAGGAATCCCTTCTCTCCTCATCCTGTTTTAGAACCACAAGTTCATCCTTCATCTCCAAGTCTATCCATTTTTTAATACCTTTTTAAGACCATCCTTGCTGCCATATGAGCAGCCCAAGTCCAAATTTGGCCGATAGCAAAGTTACAATAATTTGATAGGATGGCCAGCGTACTCCTTTACCCCTACAGTGAGGTGGTGGTTGTTTATTGTTTTGTTTTGATTCTCTTTAAGAGATTCCCTAATAGCATTCATGAACAGAATTATCCAACAGATATTGTATAACATCTTTCATATTAACTTGCAGAATAAGAAAGAAGAGAATTGGAGAAGTATTTTTAAAAGAAGAAAAAGAAACCACTCCTTTTATATTTAATCATCTCTGTACAAAAGTTAGGAACCATATTAGCAAATTTATTTGTTTACCTGTGATGTTAGATAATATTTTTTTAATATCTGAAACTTACGGTTTGATAGCTACATTATTTGGCATGAGCAAAGCTATTCTGTTAATAGTTTATTAATGTTATTGAAACCCAAATAGTGTACATTATAGGTGGTTATAGATACAGTGTATCTTTACCAATTCCTTTGTGTATCAGATGTAGAGGTCTAATCCTGTAGTTTCTACAGAGGCAAACCTTTGAGTTCAGTAGAAGATTTGCCTGTGTAAGGAATGCAGGACTGGGTGTTAATGGCCCAATGCTCTAAGGAGCTGAATACCATCAGTTTCCATTGAAATCAGCAGAAGTTGGGCGGACTAAAGGGCCTAATTCTGCTAGTAGTTAGTACATAGTATAGTACTTACTAACGTATGAATAGTCATTAGGACTTCTCTTGGTAGTAAACATTAAATCTGTTATAGAGTTTTTGCAGAATTGAGTCTCGAATTAATTCAGGGTGTTCAAAACTAGAAATAAACAGAAATATATAAAGTTTTGTTCAAGAACTGGTTAAACTGTATATTTAGACTATATCAACTTACATACATCATTTTTCCATATCACTTATAAAAATAGTGCAATGTATTTTATTTTTGTGGCTGATTGAATTAACATTGGTATTATATTTAGAAACTTCTCTTTTTAAAGGCCAGTTACAAACTGGTGTGATCTATTTGTAGTTTAATTTAAACTACAGTTTAAACCAAATATAGACATATATATCAGGAAACCTGCTAGAAAGTTGAACTTGGTAACAAAAAAAATGAATGTACAGTACATTCACAATCAAACATCAATTTCTTCATATAAGCTGTAATATAACTACTCAAAAGCATAAGCTTACACAATATTAAGTCAATTTCTTTTCTCAAATTCACTAGTTCACTCTCAGACTGATTAAGTTAAGATAGAGGAGAATTTGACCTATTCTTTCCGTCCTTATTCCTGCTGAACTTTTTACATTAATGAGAACTTGGACATATTACTACTGAATCATTCAGTGACTAAGGTGAACTGAGAAATCTAGATAGCCAAAAGACTCTTAAATTTGCTGTGATGCATGAAGTCCAAATTCATTATCTAATTACTGAGAGTATTACTTCATCATTTAAAAGCCTTTATTGAAAACTTTAGGACAACCAGAAACATTTGAATTAAGAAAAGGGGGGGGGGGAGAGAGAGAGATCAAGAAAGAAAATGAGTGTATTATAATGGCAGGCTCATTCATTTTCAGAACAAGTGCCTCCTCACCCTGTTATTGCTTTCATAGTTCACATACACAGAGTGATGGAGTGCTTTCCTTCTATGTTTCCTGATGTAAGCAGAGTCAGGATGAACTCTACCCTGACATCTGGTGGCAAGTAGAGGTGGGTTGTGGAAAAGAACTTCAGGGGCTGATCTCATTTGCATAGGCACACCCACCCTGCCTAGATGGTCACTTTGGCTGCTGTAGGAGCCCTAGTTTCTCTGTTATTGGGGCAGGAATAAACTGTTATTATCCTAATTATGTGAATCGAGGACAGTGGAACTGTACTTGGCCTTTTGTTATGATGGAGGGACTCACCATCAACTAAGCAGCACTCGCTAGGCAAGGGTCATGGGTTCCAAAACCTACTGAGGGGAGAGAGGCTGGTGGTAGGTATTAATGTCTGGTAGTATAGGCCCCCCCCCCTGTGAGGGTCCAACATGTCAATTGCACTATCTTCTCTCTCTACTGTGGAATATCAGAGCTAGTTTTGATTCCAACAGGAGTTTAGTTACAGGCTGCTAAGCTGAAATCATTTTGGGCCAATGGTGTAAGGCTCCCTGAGGCTCCCTTACTACAAGCTGAAATCACTAAAGAGCTAAAATTACTAAGAGCTGAAATCACTGAGCGTTGTGTTAAGTGGGGGGGGGCTGAAGCTATATTGCGGAGCAGTTTGCAAGATGGCTGGAGCAGCTCATGGGATGGTTGGTGGAGCAGAGTGGCTGCCAGAACAGAGCGACTTGTGGGATGGCTGGTGGAGCAGAGCAGGGCTGAGCCCCATGGAGAGGTTGGGCAATTGGCTTCGGACCACGTAAGGTGCCCCTTAACCCCCCCATTTCCACCCAGGTTGAGAGGTAAAACTCTGCAGATAAACTTTTGAACGCTGGGGCTGCACTGACCAGGGACAGAGACTTTGGGGTTGTTGGACTTTTGGGACTTTGGGTGACTTTTGGGTTGCTGGACTCAAGAACCAAAGGCCCAATTTGCTTGGGGTGGGTTTTTGCTCATGGGTTGTGTTATGAATCCTGGTGGTGGTGTTTCCTCAACATAATGCCACATTGTTTCTCTCTGTTATTAAAAGGCTTTTGCTACACTCAGACTCTGTGCTTGCGAGAGGAGAAGTATCGCCTCTTAGAGGCGCCCAGCGGGGGTGGTATATAATTGTCCCAGGTCGCTGGGTGGGGGCTCGAGCCGGTTTTGCATTGTGTTATTGGAATGGAACCCCTAGATACTGAACCCGGCCCTTGTTGCTGCCAACTCTGATGGGCAGAGGGGTTACACTAAAATAAACTTGATTCTTCATCTTGATAACTTCCAACACAATAAACAGATTATCTCTGTTGCTAGAACAAAGTAGTAGAATATCCACTCAGCTTATGCTCCTACTTGTCCTGTTGATGTCATATTTTAGGTTGATCGGTTCTTGTTAAACAGCTTAGCTGAGTTTTTGAAACACTGTTAGAATCTGGAAAGTTCTGTGGTGCATTTTCACCCTTTTTGTTAATGATGTGATATTTATAACAACAAACAAACTCCTGACTTGGCTTCACCTCTGTTTGCACATCCCCCAGTAGCTACTCTGTTAGGATCATTCAGTTCTTCGAACAGTCCGGTTTCGATAATTTCTTCCTGCCACGGTATAGGGACAGCACCTGTCGCAAATTTCTTGAAGAATTGCTTATCTTTGTCATCAAACTCAATCCCCCTGATTTCAGAGAAGTCAGCAATGTCTGCAACATCTTTGGCATAGACAACTGATGGATCTGGCACAAAAGGGGGGTCTATGAGGCCTGCCTCCAGCCTATGGAAGTTAATTGTTTTGAAGAAAGCATGTTTTCTTGGATCATCGTCACTGCTCCTGCAATAAAGCAAGAGATTGTCAGTCAAAATTGTGATGTGCTAGCTAGCTCATGAAGGTGAACTATATATATACACAACAGAGAGAGCCCCAAAGCTGAATTATAGCTCCACACGTGGACACTCCTAGATTTTGGGAAAGTTTAATTGCACAACTTGGGTCTATTTTAATTTTAAATGGGTTTCATTAAACCATCCCTTTGCATAGTCTTTCAAAAGCCAAGGGTTGTTAGGTGCATAATGGGATCAAGATATTTTGTACTTTTCAGCTAGGAAAGTCAGGTTTTCAGTGGAACTGAAGCTAAGGAGGGGGAAATATTAGGACTATTGTTAACAACAAAAGCCCAGATAATTTGCTTTAGTTTAGGTAGAATAAGAATTCCAGGAAACTGTAGTAGGTGGTTCAATGGGTAATGCACTCAGCTGTCAACTCTGGAAACAGTGGTTTCAGAGTGAAACTGGTGACAAGTAAAACTGATGTTTGTGGTCTCATCTGAAATGTGTATTGGTCCACAGTGCACGCACACAGAAAAATCACACAAAGCCCAATACAAAAGCCATTATTCTCATGAGTATTTCTAATTCACATAAGTAGCCCCACTTAGCTCAATGGGTCTACTCAAATTGCAGGATCAGATCCAGAGATTGGTATGCTAGCAAAGGAATGCAAGCACATTTCCTAGCACCTTCGCACCCAATGACCCTCTATAGCTAAAACTATCCTAGGCCCTTACCACTATGAATATAAACATTAATAAAACTCACCCAAGAATTAAAAATAAAATGAATCAAACGTTTTTTAGACTTTTTCAAAATAAGTGTATCTTGGAAAGAATAACTGCAGTCCATGCAGTGGGCTGAATTAAGGTTCTCTTTTCTTGAAGGAGAATCAGGAACACATGAACTATTGCAATGTGGGCCCACATTCAGATCCCAAGATGACCCCCAGGACAGGAATAATCTGAGTCTCAAGGTTACAATCAAAATATACTATGATCCTTGATGTAGGCCCTGTCCTAGAATGTGCCACTTTTGAAACTTTAGCTGTCAAGAATGTGCAAAGATAACCTTTGAGGCCAGGTCTGTATTACGAAATTAGGTTGGTATAACTATGTCGCTCAGGGGTGTGAAAAATCCACACCCATTAGTGACAGTTAAATTGACCTAACCTCTGCTGTAGACAGTGATACGTTTTCCCATTGACATAGCTATAGCTTCTAGGGGAGGTGGATTAACTATAGTCACCTCAGAAGCCCTCCAGTTGGCATAGGTAGCATCTTCATTGAAGTGCTACAGCAGTGCAGCTGCAGCAGTGCAGGGTTTAATGTGTAGACCTGCCCTGAATTTTGAAGAAGCTATGAACAGGGAGAAAAACTGAGTAGTTCTTTTCCTGTATATATGGATGATACAGCTTGGACTGGGCCCTACATGAGTTAAAGGAGTATGAAGAACCAAGCTATTGTGACAATACCAGGAAAACAGATTTGTCTCTATTCCTTGGCCTCAGTAAATAGCAATGTTGTTAATGGGTTGAAGTTTTCTGATCACACTTTTTTACAAAGTCATATACTAAATAAAGACCACGCTTTCACACATTCACAGTGCACTATGGGATAATACTGAAGAACAGGATGTTCTATGGATATGATTCCCTACAACAAGGTTAAAAGAAAGAGATAATGCAAATTTCTGTTAAAGCCAATCATCTTCATTAATGTGTAAAAGCACCATTACTTAGTGACCAGATGCAGATGTGACCACAGAAAGTTCTGCTCTGCCATGCACAATAACAGACCCTTCAGCTTGAACAGCATCCTTAATTCCCTTTGCACTGCTTCCCATTCCCTAACTGCCCACTCCTGCTCAGAAAACTGCACTTTAGCTTCACTTCCTGGCAGCCTAATTCATGTAAGCATGTCTCCAGAGGCCACAGTCTTGTAAAAAAATGTGATCAAGGGAGCATAGCCATAGCCTGAGAAGCATCAGAGGCAGCCAGATGGGCCTCAAAGGTACACAGAGATGGTGTTACCCATCAAGAAGTGGCAAGGGAGATGTATACTACAGCGATGAGCACAGTAGGAAAACACAGATTAGATCAACAGAGCTTATGTTATTTTTACATATGGTCTTGCAAAACCTAGCTAGCTCAGTTAGTGACACATAAACACCGGTACAGCTGTGGAGGCTGAAGTCAATTGCTGACCGTCTTTATTAGCCTGAAGTGCATTAGAGCTGCAGATCAGATAATGAGAACTCACAGATTTGTGACTCTAGCAGCTCTGTCAGTCACCCTATAGAGTCACTGGGTGATTTCATACTCAGCATATTCATGCAGACTTTATTTTATTTTGCTTTTCTATAATATGCTATTAAAAGCAACAGAACTTGGTGTAGGCTCCACAATGGATTACTGCAGTGTTTCCCCCTCTTGATGTAATATATTTTCTTTTGATACCATCAGGAATAAATTTTTATTTTTTTTAAAATATGAAGCTACAGGAATGCCATCTAAAAGCACCTACTAATACGGTGCTTCTTCTACCTAGCCATGACCCCTTCCCATGTGAATCTGATGTTTACAAAACGGTGACAGAAAAAGTGAATGAGCCTGTCTAACTTCTCTCAAGTTAACATTCCTCAATGAACTATTTCACTGTTCCATGGGACAGCATGGGAGAGGGGTGAGCAAGTTCCAAACGAGAGGGAGTGGAATCAGAGAGTGGAGAGAAAGGTGCTAATCTCTCCAGAATAAGCCAAAAACTCTGAGTCTTGGGTACAAAATTTAGAACATTTTCAAAAGGTCAGGTATGCAAATTAAAGCTGCTCTTGGACAGCTTTAACTTATGCAACAGGCACTTATGTAGATAACCCAAGGTCTGATTGACCTTAGCAGAATTACAAAGCTAATCTTTACATAAGGATGAGCTGTTCTTGAACAATATCTCCAGTGTAATAGGCAGAGACAGGGATTTTTTTTTAACATCATGTACAGAAAGGCTGGACTTCCCCTTGCCCATTTCTCATTAAACTGTGTATTGAAGGGAGGGTAAGAAAAAATGGGACATTATCTTAATGGATTCCATTGTGTCCTTCCCTCAATACTTCAAGGTAGCACTACAGATTATAACTAGTCCCCTTTCCTCTCCCCCAAGTGTCATAAAACACAGGGTAAATTGCTCCATCTGTAGTTCTACTTGTTGGGCTGGTAGAAATTTTGGTGGGGAGAAGTGGGATCCTTTTCCCAGTCCCCCAAAAATGTGAAGTGGCACCAAACAGCAAAGAAAGTAGAGGCAGCATATTTTGAAAAATCAAAGCGGCAGAATGAAAAACCTCAGCACAAATAACTGTCTTGAGGTGCTTCTCCCACGCACCACTAAGGGCTAATGTAACATTAAGTAGGCAGAGAGATGGTTTTGTGGTGAAAGCACATGACTAGGATTGTGGTTCCATTAGAAGAGCAGTCTATTCCTAGCTCTTCCACAGACTTGCTGTATGACCTTGAACAACTCACTCAGACTCTCAAAGCCTCAGTTTCCCCAACTTTTAAGTGAGGGTGATAAAGCTTACTTCACACGGGTGTTGTGAGTCTAAATGTATGTAAAGCACACTGAGATTTCAGATGGAATGCTCTAAGTGAAGAGTATTACTATTATTGTGATAAACTAGGCAATTTCTGTCAGCTGTGTTGTAAGATAATTTGTTGCTAAATAGTATCTACAGTTTTCATTCAGTGTTAGAATTGTCAGCTTCCTTATAACGACAAAAAACGGGGAATCACAGCCTCTGTTCACATTTGAAATCCCCACAGAAATACAGTATGTGGCTGATCAACCCATGACCATATCATATTGGTATGCAAGGATGTGTATTTTGGACATTCTTCTGTCAAAAAGCTGTGTAGCTATTATACTTGCCCTGCTGGAGAGAAGATGTGATAAAATGATACACACTTCCCTGCTAAATCCTTGAAAAAATCAAATACAAGTCTTCACTTGTACATTAGATATAAAACACTGTTATATGATCTTCTATGCCATTCTTCAATGTGTTTTCAAATATCTTTAGGTTCTTTGTAAATGCAGTATGACGTTAATATTATTATTAATAATATTAATTTAATAATTTATTTATTTATAATTTAAATTAATTAATAAATAAGATTAATTATACATCTTCACATTAAGCCCCTCCATTGCAAACAGGAGTTTTATATTCACTGCAAGCATTATCAGTGTCACAATGTGGCATTCAGATTAACACTGAATACTGCATAGAGAGGAATCTGGGCTGTTGGCAAATAACAAGTTTTTACAAAATAGAAACCACTAATTTATTCTAATTACCATATGTTTCACAAATTTTACTGTACTGGTTACTGAATACTATATTTTATTGCTAAACAAGTGATAGAGACCATATTTTCTAGCTTCATAAACTGTTACTTACCATACCCTTCACAACACACCGTGCTATAATAAAAGTTTTAAGGAAAAATGTGCAATCTTTATACAGAAAAGACTCCCAGTAATTTCAACGGAAGATTTCTCTGTATTATTGCGTAGTATATACATAAAATGTGAAATGACTGAATTAAATGAGTCTGTTCACCTACTTTTTGGTAGGTTCTCAATCACGTTATATTGGAAAACTTGACTTGAATTGGTAGATAAATTTACAATCATGTTTGATGAAAGTTACTATGTGTTCTAAATTTAGCTACCACCAATTTCCTTTATATCTTATTACAGTGTACTTACTTGTCCTATAGATTGTCTTGTATTTATTCTGTCTTGACAGTACTGCTGTTGAATCTTTCACCATGTATCACTACAAAGGTATTTGAAAAGTTAAATACTATAATGTTTAGCTTTCCAATTACCTTATTATTCAAAGAATCTTTAGAATTGCTGACTCAGGGCCAAATCCAGCAGTCCTTTCAAAGGCAAAACTCCCATTAAGGCCGCAAATGGAATTTTTGCCTAATAAGGACATAAGTCCAAGTGTACTCTCCCTTCCAAATAGCCTTGGGATGATGGCAAGAGGACCAGGAAATTCTGTGGGTTTCCATTACATTGGCCTGTCAGTGAGAAGGTTTAGGATACCTGTTGTAGGAAACAAATGGTTCAGTCTTCCAACCCTGATACCTGCAGGCTTATTAGGGGTTGTCCCTTCATGCTGCTGCTTTGTAACCCTGATAGCACAGTTTCTACAAGAGTTGTGCTGACATAGACCAAGCATTCTGCAATCAAGTAGCATTATCTTAGATGCAGATATATACTAGAATATTCACTGTCTAGGGGGAAGAGAATATTATGGAGGTGGCTCCTCCCCTTCCTCAAAACCCTACAAAGCTCCAAAAGAGGAGCTACTATGGATTTCTGGGGAGGTAATGGGGATTGACGCCACAGAGGCAACATTCCTCCATTTCCATGCTCTCCCAAGAGAGATCTGCTAGAGCAAGATCACTTCCATTCATGGAAATGGAAAGGAAGATTGAGGTCTTTGCAGAAACTTTAGGATTTGGCCTCTATTTGTATGAAATAATGATTGCATAATTGATCTAGGCTTAAACATGGGAAATAAGCCATACCTGCTTCCTAAACGGTGCTCTGATTTCTTAGCCAAGAACAGCCTGCAAATATCTTTTGTTTCCTCCGTGAAGTTGGCATGCTCAAATTTCACCTCATCTTCCAAGGTTCTTTTTTTCACGTCATCCTTATTGACCTTTTCTTTGAAATCCTTGAATGGAGTTCGACCCGCAACCATCTCATAAATACTACATCCCATAGCAAACCAGTCCACAGGGTAGGAGTAATTCTCTTCCTTCAGGATTTCAGGAGCCATATAACCATTAGTCCCAGCCTATGGCAATCAAACATATATGTTTACTAGACAATGGCAATAATGAAATGCATAGGAGTAAGTACATTTTAATCTCCTACAGTTAATTACATCAAGCCACAAAATGTATCTGAAGGTATCAGTAGCAAACATGATAGAATTATGCTTATAGAAACTATAGATGACATTCGACAGATATGCATCTATGTAATATCCATATAACAGGTTTGGCACATAATTGAATTATTTCTGTTGCTTAAATATCTTTCTGTATGTAAACTTTTAAAATATGATCTGAAAAGGAAAAATATGGATTTGTGCCATTTCTGCTTTTTATATAATGTATAAAGAAAGCCTGAGAGGTTTTGTTTTTAAAAAAATATTTCTTTCTGCTTTATTTTTTCTTTCACATTAGAAATTCAGGTCTTATCTACCTTGTTTTCCTGAAAGATTATGAAGAACTGAGGAACAGAAAGTATAGCACATCAGGAGAAACCAGGAAAGTGAAAAGTGATTAACTATTAACATTTATTTGACTTAACCATTTGGGAGAAATCCTTTCCTTAATAGGGATGCACCGCCCCCCCAGAGGCAATGCGTGTAGGAGGGCATGAGGGGGTCACGTGCCCCCCTTCGATTTCTGCCAGGGATTTTATATATGTATAGTTTTTGCAGGGAGTGGATTCAAATACATACCCCCCCACTATCAACAGTAAGATGTCACCTCTGCCATTCTCATCCCTTCAATTAACAGCAGAGAACACTCTTAAACCCACATCTCTGAGTCATCTAAGTAGTTTCCTTGCAAAAACAGGAAAGAAAACATTCAATTTTCCTGATATTTTAAGGTTCAAAAAGCAACAACAAAATGATACCTTTCGGGTTTTCTTTAAAATTCATTACAAAACACAAAAGAAAACAGATCCAGTTCCCCCTTCCAGGTCCCTTGTAAGCAACGCACCAGCGAGTGAGCCTTGCTTGAATATTCTGTTGTATTCTGCATTCATGTTGGGGAGAATTAAGGAGTCAGCATTAGTTAGTTGCAGCACATAACTCTGAATTAAGAACACTTCTAGATATAGGACAAACTGACCATGCCCTATGGATATAACTGCAATCCTCCTATTGCCAGATCTGTATCACTCATATTGTAGGGCAGGCAAAGTAGGATTCCAAATGAGTTCTACTGGCTTTCTGGTAAGTTGATTTCCTTGAGAGGAGGGAATCACTCTTCGTCTACACTGCCAAGGTGTTACCATCATTAGTGCGGGTGGAAGCCTTAGTATAGATAAGGCTCCCACAACCAGACCCATTTTTACCCCTGTATTAGTTATACCTGTTATCTAGCAGGTTTAACTAGCAGAGTGGTAAAAGTGCCAAAAGTCACTTGAGCTTTTTCTATGCCTTTTTGAACTGATGGGAATCTTTCTTCTTTTTCTTTTTAGTATAGACATGGTCTTGGTGCAAAATCCAATTGACAGTTGTTCAAGATTGTGGTTGCTATTAGTACCAGAGTTCTACTGTTGGCTGAGGGAGTCACTCTAAGCCAAAACAGAGGTCCCTCAGGAAAGGATAACTGAAATCATAGCTCATTTGGGACACACGAAGGAATTTGTGAGTGGTACAATTAAACACATGCACAGGCAGTTTCAGTATGAGCAGTGGGAAGGCTATTACTCCTTCAGCTTTAGATACAACGTTCCTCTCTTCGTCAGTTTTTCAACCCCCTATAAACCTCAGCTCCTGCCAATGTGAGATATATCTATCTATATCCATCCCCTAATATAGCTAGGCCAGGTCATTGTTTATAAAAGGTAGGCAGTAGATGAAATACCCTTCCTTTTCCTTGCTACTAACTATTCTCATTTAGAGACATGGGGCCAAATCATCCCCTTTGCTGAGAGGCAGGAGGGAGATGAGAGCACAACTATCAGCCAGATGTGGCCAGTAAGCACAGAAGGAAGAATGGAGCCAAAGTGGCACTGTCTCTCTTGTTGACTCACCAAGTCCACAGAAGTTACCCTGCTTTGTAGAGTTATATGAGGTGGATGGAGCTCTCAGTCTGACCCAAGGCAATCTGCACTATTTGTATTGGATTTTCCCACTGGAATTTGATTCTGCCCTAGGGAGAGTTAAAATCTTATTCATGGCTACTCCTCCATTCAGAAAGGGGGCATTGTGTAACTGTGGACCAGAAAACCAGAGTCATGCCATCTGGAGGAGAGATGAGGGACCAGGGAGAAGTACAGAGAGGCTGATTTCTACACAAGTGCCCTAATGTGCGGGTAGAACTGGAGTCCCTGTGAACAGTGGGCAGCTACATGATCAGAAAGCCACACCATTTATGCTATCTGCATGTCTACAGACCCACGAGGGGTTGTATGGTGGGAACTATGCACAGCCTCCGAGGTACTTTTTGCTTGTCTTGTTTTTTAGTGGGAGGCAATAAGCATTCTCAGTTTGATTAGGCCAGAGGTGAAGTTGATTTAGTGAGTGATACCCTGAAAAGCTGGTGAGCCATTTCATCATCAAATGGAGTCACAGAGAGCAACACAATAATCACAGTGTTACATCCTGGCATTGTGTTTCTGTTAAGACATTGCTGTACTGGAATTCAGCCTCATCACATGCTGAACAATATCAAGACACATGACACAGCAGTGTCAGAATGTCATTCCTTGATCGTCAGTGTGGGTTACTGTAGCTCCAGTCAGCAATACTTCTCTCTTTCACCCCTCTCTTTTCCCTTCCCCAGCACGGCTGCTTGAAGGGGTGGTTGCTAGGTGCCTTTAGCCTATTTGATATGCATAAACGGCATAACTGTGTTAATTATGCAATATAGGAGGTGGCTTTGACTGATGTGACGCTCATGCTCCTGGCGCTCAGGCAAAGCAAGGGGAGCTCCAGTCCTACCCATAGATTCAAAGGAACTGTAGGACAGGGTCCAAACACCACCCTATACTGGAAACCTACTGACCGCTATACTTACCTACATGCCTCCAGTTTCCATCCAGGACACATCACAGAATCCATTGTCTACAGCCAAGCCCTAAGATACAACCGAATTTGCTCCAATCCCTCAGACGGAGACAAATACCTATAAGATCTTTATCAAGCATTCTTAAAACTACAATACTCACCTGGGGAAGTGAGGAAACAGACTGACAGAGAGAGACGGGTACCCAGAAATCACCTACTACAGGACAGGCCCCACAAGGAAAATAACAGAACACCACTGGCCATCACGTACAACCCCCAGCTAAAACCTCTCCAGCACATTATCAACGATCTACAACCTATCCTGGAAAACAATCCCTCACTCTCCCAGACCTTGGGAGACAGGCCAGTCCTCGCTTACAGACAGCCCCCCAACCTGAAGCAAATACTTACCAGCAACTACACACCACACCACAGAAACCCTAACCCAGGAATCAATCCCTGTAGCAAACCTCGTGGCCTACTCTATCCCCATATCTACTCTAGCGACACCATCAGAGGACCCAACAACATCAGCCACACCATCAGAGGCTCATTCACCTGCATGTCTACTAATGTTATATATGCCAGCAATGCCCCTTTGCCATGTTCATTGGCCAAACCGGACAGTCCCTACGTAAAAGAATAAATGGACACAAATCGGACATCAGGAATGGTAACATACAAAAGTCAGTAGGAGAACATTTTAATCTTCCTGGACATTCTATAACAGATTTGAAAGTAGCTATACTTGAACAAAAAAACTTCAGAAACAGACTTCAAAGAGAAACAGCAGAACTAAAATTCATTTGCAAATTTAACACCATTAATTTGGGCTTGAATAGGGACTGGGAGTGGCTGGCTCATTACAGAAGTAGTTTTGCCTCTCCTGGAATTGACACCTCCTCATCTATTATTGGGAGTGGACTACATCCACCCTGATCGAATTGGCCCTGTCAACACTGGTTCTCCACTTGTAAGGTAACTCCCTTCTCTTCATGTGTCAGTATATTTATGTCTGCATCTGTAATTTTCACTCCATGCATCTGAAGAAGTGGCAGTTTTACCCACAAAAGTTTATGCTCAAATGAATCTGTTAGTCTTTAAGGTGCCACCGGACTCCTTGTTGTTTTTGTGGATGCAGACTAACACAGCTACCCCCTGATAGGTGCACCATTGTTTCAGTGGAAATTAGCAATGGTTCAGCAAGGTGATGGTTGGGGTCAGATTAGGTTTAGGTGAGGGATCAGGATTGGGATTAAAGGCTGAATCAGGGGTAGAGTCTGAGGTTCTAATGTAATGGAACTGTAATTCTGTGAGCTATTATGAAAATTCAGCTCAAAGTGAGGGAAGTCTTGCAAGATCTGCTATTCTCATGAGGTTTCCACCATTGTGTCCAAAACCTTGTGAGAGCTGCTTCTCACAAAATTTCAGCAGAATTTGAATGCAAATTGAAAAGAACTCCGGTTCTAGTTCTAGACCTGGCCCAGAATCCAAAATAAAGGAATGAGTTAAAATGTCAGAGTTCAAATCCAGCTTCCTACTCCTTTAAATTCAAAGGGATTCAGATTTGACCATTCTCTAGTGGAAAATATATATATATGTTACAAATGGCAATCCTATTGTTTGATATGTAGATATTGACCCATATGCCAAAGAAACCAGGGGAGGAAGAAACAGAGTAAATCTCTCTACAATTTCAATTAGCACAGGAACTGGCAAGCAGAGGGGCAAATGGAATTTAGATTTCTCTGCCTTCTCCTATATAGCTAAAGGTCTGGGCAAAAAGTTTTTATTGAAGAGAAAGGACTATAAAACCACAAGCACTCAGCTACGTAAACAACTGAGCAGTAAATAAGGAAAACAGGAAGGGAGGTGCTGAAATAAGAAGATGCAGGGTGTTGTCAGGAAACATACTGACCAGAACAATTCAGTGGCCTGAACTGGCAGAGCAAACATCTTTCAAGTGAAGATTTAGCTATATTTGTTGGGATAGGATTGGATTGGAGGAAAGCTGGAATTTGCACAGTCTTTACTCTTATATG